TTGGGGTTTAGGGTTTAGGGGCTATATGGGTTTGGGATTCAAGGTTGTAACAGCTGTAGCATGGTTGGAGGTGTACCCTAAACCCTAAACCCTAAACCCTAAAGCCCAGACAAGCTAACAGGTCTTGATCTAGCCGGCCAGAGCTCGCCTCAGAAAAACTTCATAACCTGACCCGTCCTGAACCATGCTCCTCCTAATGCTACATCTCAAGCTAGAGTTTAGGGTTTAGGGCTTAGCAGCTCTGCAAGCTGCGATTGCATGGTGGCTAATATGGTCATCTATGGCTTCTATAAGGTCAGAGTCAGAACCCGTCGGGTACTCGTTCACATTTGGGTGTTCCCCTTCTTTTCCGTAGCCGCTGAGCTTCTTGAGACTACCGAGCCCTGCAGCGATACTGCTGGACTTTAGGAACGCCTAGTTCTATAGCTCTGTAAACTCGAGTCAGGAGACGCAGTATATAAGTAAGGTCATAAGTACCATGACTCATGACTGGAGTAGCAGCCACGTGCGTAAAACTACACTACTTTTGAAGCCATAAATTACCCCGCAAATTGAAACGTCCTCTTGCACTGCAGGGGTCTTCTTCCACCGAGTCAAGCCAGGACAGTTAGCTCAACATTTCTAATTAAGCCCACAACCACAACCCTTTAATTCCAAAAGCGCTCAAACCGACTTGGGGCTTAGGACATCCGAGAGGCAAAATGTCATCGAGGCGGACATGCGACCACCCATCTCCGTCCAGCCGTCATCAACCTTGGCTGACTTCTGAACCCCTCCAAAAAGTTAAACTTTTAGTCTCCTTATTATAGTTATATAGATACCCAAAAAGTTAAAGTCCTAAGAGCCAACCAGAAGAACACCAAGCAACATCATCTGCAGAAGGCAGTGAGAGAGCCTGGAGAGTCATAACGCTGCATGTGTTGGGTTTAGGGTTTAGGGTTTAGGGTTTAGGGTTTAGGGTTTAGGTTTAGGGTTTAGGGTTTAGAATTTAGGGTCTAGGGTTGTTGATCACAAGTCAAGCTCTTCAAAGGCTTTACTAAAGGCTTTGCTGCTAGGCTAGCAGCTTTGGGTGTGAAGGTTTTTCAGTTGGTAGAGCTTGCTGTGTTTAGGGCAGGCTGCTAGGATGCATTGTAGCGGCTGCGTTTGAATACCTTGAACACATCGATACCTGCTCCTTACTTGCAGGTCCGAACCGTATGGCAATACTTTCCATACTGTTGATGGACAAAATCCTGCATGACTTTATATACCTAAACTATGGGATTTATGGTACTATACTATATTTGGGTCATGCAGAATTTTGTCCATCAACCGTATGACCCACTTGAGGGATCCTGGGACTCAGTAACTCGGCATTAGCTATATATGGGTGGTTGTCAAAATTATGGTCCCTTTTTGGGTGCCTATTATAATTATTTAGGGTACCCCAAAAGGGACCATAATTTTGACAACCACCCATATGTCACTTGAAACTCCAGTCAGGGCACTTCTGAACTTACATACTAAGCTCACAAGCACTCCACATATGCTTAGGGAGTTTGTTTGACTCGCACTTTGGGCTGCTCAGGGAACCCTCAACGCTAAAAGCTCAAGAGCTCCCTGAACCTCGTGTTAACGGCCCCTACCCTCAGATCCGTCCTTAACCGCGTCTTGCGGAATGTGCTCCAGCCTCAAGGACGAAGCAGGATTCCACATAGGACTCAGTATAATCCTTCGCAAGTTCACAAGACTGTCACGGGCTGTAAGGTTTAAGGGAGCTATAGATCAAGCAATAGGGTCTGGGATTTAGAGATTACAACTTACACGAAGTGTCTCCACCTGGGAATTCTGACTGCATTACACATCCTCACGTATCCTGACGATCAAGATGCATGTGCTCCCACGCCTCATTAGGTGATTTGTCTCCTGCACTTCCTCTGCAAAGCCAAAGCGCTTGAGTCTGTCAACAAGCTGCTTCTCCCGGCGTTGCTATTGCCAGGGATTATAGAACCCCATACAGGTTTTAAAGTTGCCTACTCGACTACGAATACCACTGCCGAAGCTCGTAGACGGACGTGAGCTTGCTTTCACCGCCATGCCGGAGCATATCGAAGGGGAGAGTCTGCATTCCAGCCATCTCCTTTGTGTAGGGGTAGACCTTTGGCTGCGGTTTCTGGGTGAGTGGGGAAGCGGTAGCGGTAGGGCCGGACATTGAGTACGGGCCTTACATATGCCGAGAGATCTTATGGCTAAGGTAGATTCCTGGCATGATGACACAAGGGGTTGAATCTCATGCCTCGGCTGTTATCATGGAGCTGCCTAGGGTGGAGTTGTTCGGATTTGGGGTCATTACCATTCGGGTTTCGGGTTGGTTTGTAGACTTTTGCGATGCAGTAGCAGCCCAAAGCCCTAGAAATCAAACACTAAAACCCCAACCCCATGAATACTAAAACCAACCTTACACCCAAAGGTCTAGAGCCTGAGTCCTAAATCCTACAGTTCCTAAGCAATCTGAACCTTCTTACGCCTTAAGCCCGAAACAGTGCATTCTAACACCCCCGATTCCTGAAAGCTGAGCTAAGTGTCTGCAGTCACCAGCTTGCCAGAGATCTGCCTCAGTTGCTCTCCCGGGATTCACGGTAACCATAAACTTTAAGCCCTAACCCTCAATCCCTACCATAGCGACTCTATGGATGTGAGGCGTGCCTGGTTCAGGGTCGTTTGGGCTTAGGGGTTTAGGGGTCTTGGGGATTTATGGCTTCGAGATTGAGGGTTTAAGGTTTACCATAGGGTGGCTATAGTCTATAGTTATATGTACTTATCACCCCAGTCATGGTTCCTACAAGCTTGATGAACGACCTGGTCATCCAGGTGACCCGAACACCCAATAAACGCCGTGTAGAACCCTTACAGAAGCCAGCAGCGCTCTTGTATTCGTGACTTCGCACTGAAGTTCAGAGTATCGATACATGCAACCCTGACGGCCCATGACAGATTGGCTTCACAACTCTCGTAGCAGCATTGCCACTGTTCTTGCAAAACTTGGCATGGATGCTTTGCCCGCGAGAATGACGCAGTTTTCGCGGCTGGCAACCAGTTTCAATTCCCTTCGCAAAACCACGAGAAGCATACATGCTCTTCTTCCAAGAAAAAAGCAGGCTTACAAAGAATCCCTGGAAGCAGTCCAGATTAGTTGTTCTCTTTCGCAACGAACGGAGGGAATCAGCTGCGGTCTACCGACTCCCCAAAATCCTAAACCCTAAACCCTAAACCCTGGAATTCATCCTCCGGCTCTAAGACACATCCCGGACCGCTGGACAGGCCAGGATCAACCCAAGCCCTGGACCTTAACCCCAGCCCAACCCCTCCACCCCAAAGATTAGAATCATCTGAAAAGGCCATCAACAAGAAATAAGAGAAAACCCGCCAAGACCAGATGAGGCCAACAACCAAAAGCAGCCTAGATCAACTATACCCTTAACCCCCACCAACCCTACAGTGGTTGCTTAGCGGCACACCTTCGGCCTGCTCCGTGTACTGAGGCTTTGCAGAATTCCAAAAATGCTTCTTCTCCTGGGTGGTTCTCTAAATTAGGGTCCTTTTTGGGGTCCTTTTTATAAGGGTGCCGTACTATATTGGGGACCAAAAAAGGGACCGTAATTTAGAGAACTACCCTCCTGCTGACTGGATAAAGTGTTGTTTTGAGGGTTTAGTGTTCCAAGGCTTAGATTAGAAGGTCCGGAGGCACCCAACGATCAGGTACTTGCATGTAGAATGAATGGTGGTACATTGCAGCTCGGCGTAGGGCTTAAGGAGAACAGGGCGTAGGGAAAACAGCAAAAGGGCTGCGAAAGAAGTTTGGGGGCTGCGGAGCGCCGGTGGAACATGGTTTATAGCAGCGAAATAGGAAGTAGCGGCTTTAAATAAGTGCCATATAAATGCATATGGGAACCCTAAGCCCTAAACCCTAAACCAGGCAATAATGTTATAAGCACCACGTTGACGTCCAAGAAGCCCTGTTGGCCGCATCATACGAAAACCCTGAACCCATAAACCCTCAAGTCGTTTACAGCGTTCAGGGTTTGGGGTCGAAAACGAAAAGGCTCAACCTTTTAGGGCTTTTAGGGCTTTTAGGTTTAGGGCCTTTTAGGGTTTAGGGGTTTCGGGTCGAAAACAGAAAGGCTCAACCCTAAATCCGGTACAATTTGCCCCAAGCTTAGCCACAGACCCTATAAGCCCTAAACCCTAAACCCTAAACCCTAAACCCTAAACCCTAAACCCTAAACCCTAAAGCATCGGCGGAGCACTTTTTTTTTTCCTAACGTTGGCGGTCCCCGGTCTCCCTTGCTAAGGTTGGCGGTCCCGTTTTCGTTAGAACTGCTATGCATTGCAGCCCCCAAAGCATCCATCCGTCATAAACCCTCGTCCCCTGAATCTTAGTCCTTGGACCAGACACCGAACACCAGCCGCGAAACCCCTAAACCTGACCCTCAAAAGACTCACATTTCAAGGCTTTTGGGCCCGAAGACCCTGTTATATAAGGCTTTTGAGTTTGGGCTATTTTGATGCTAAGGGTAAACCTCTAAGACTCAAACGAGACGCCTCGACATGCATGCGGACGAGGGGGTCCGGCTTCCAACCTCGGTGGCGCCCACGGTACTTGGATTTGGGTTCAACCCTAAACCCTAAACCTTCAACCCTAAACCCTACACCCTAAACTTTAAACCTTAAACCCTAACCCCTAAACCTTAAGCCTTAAACCCTAAACTCTAAACCTTAAAACCTAAGCCTGAAATTACTGAACCTCCGAAGCAAAGTTGGGGGTGTCGGGTCAAGAGTGCAGGATTAAGGGGGGTTTGGTTGGACCAAGCCGGACGCATTTAGAGAAGAAAAAGCAAAGCCCGTCACACTTAGAAAGTAAAGAAATGCAGGAGTTCTGCGAAGCCAAATTATTCCTGTACTTTGTGAATACGATTAGGGCGTAGGGTTTGGGGTTTAGGGATACAAGTAGTGAATCAGAGAATTCTTGGTTTCAACTGGAGCACGAGCTTGAAGTATACAGCAAGTAATGGAGAGAGCGTAGCGGATATTTGAAGGCGGATTTGGGTCACGTCCCCCGCCGCACTGTGTATGGATGTAGCTGTCAAACACCTAGCAAGTTTTTCTTTGGTAAGGTCACACAACAAGTTTTCGGACGACAATGTTGACAACACAATTCCACAAACAAACACATGCGCACTTGCATGTGCGCACCCACACACAACTTCTAATGGATAACTACGTACCACACAACAACATCGGACTCAACATGCAGAACCTTCGTGGGGGCATGTACACTCCGAGACACAAAGCCTGAAAAGGGATTCGCATTTATCTAGACGTACCGAAGCACAGGACCTAGGCAAGACAACAACAACGACTGTATCCAGCGAGTTACAAAAATCCCAAGGCCCTGATCCGAAAGGATACTACCCTGAAATCTACATAAAACTCCACCCCTGAATACCTTCAGCCCAATATTCGCTTCTAGGCTCTAAAACTCCAACCTCAAAACCTAGGGACCGAGAATTCCCAGGGCCTGGAGGACAGGAGCAGAGTCCTTGAGCGCATCTTCGACGACAGCACTTAATCTAGGGGCCTAAGTAAGTACCAATACTACATTAGGGGCTCCTTATTGGTTTTGTTGTACAGTGGGCTCCCAAACCCTATTCTGATTACTAAGGCCCCTATATTAGGCACTT